CTCGGTTAATATGAACTGCACGTTCTGCCACATTTTAACGACAAATTAATTGACATTAACTGTCGTTTAGATTAATCAGCCAAATTCGATCGTTTATCTTCGGTTAATCGAACTTCAGCCTAAAAACTGCCCAAATGTGAGGAAAACGGATTAGATTGAGGATGTATTAACATCTGATTCTACTTGCTATTTTTTTAATGTTCGAAGTACGCATGAAAATATTTTATATTAATTCTTAACCAAGGGCCTTTACTTCTTGAGCTTGTGGATATCTGCCAAATAACTTCTTGCATGAAGCTAGCGCGACTTCTCGTCTCGACAAGAGTGCATCTGTCTTGCTTTCTAGTCGATGATAGTATCGGCCAATCACGCGAACGCGTTCACCGGCGATTCAACTTACTTCGAATAGTGTATAAGATTAGTTAAACACGCTCTAAATAAATGTGGTGGAACATTTACGTTTTTGGTCCATGATGAACATAGATGTTGACTTTAACCTACGGTCAAATAATCAATGATTTGACCGAGGTTGGTGGAAGTCTTGCGTGGCTGTGTGAACCTGAAATCCAGTTTGAGGCACAAACAAAATTAACATGATTGTTGGAATGTTTCTGTGATGTAGACGTTTGTGCCATTTTTTTTTCAAAAACTAGAGCTGTTAAAAAAAAATATAAACAAATTCCGAAAATGACCATTTTAACGTTTTTGAAGTTCTGGGATGCTTTAAATTTTCCTAACGTCGGAGTATTTATTTTAGAGTATTTTTTATTATTAGTTAGAGTAGAAAAGTCCCATTAGAGTAGAAAAATCCAAATTTCCACGATTTCGGAATTTGTTTAACTTTTCGAACAGCTCTGGTTTTTATAAAAAAAAAAAAAAATGGTACAAACAAAACTGAACATGGCACAAACGTCTACACCACGGAAACATTCCAATAAGCCTGTTAATTTTGTTTGTGCCTCAACCTGGATTCCAGTTTCACACAACGCTAAACCTTAGACACGATTTGATCGAGTAACGTTATTAATCGCGTCATTAATCGCACCTTCAATCGGCGCTTCCGATTCCGTTCTCGATGCTTCCATTGTTTGAATTGTATCCTACGTTTCGATGGTTTCCTCCACTATTCTACGCTTTGTTACCGATGCGCAGGCTGTAACGCGCGATGCGTATTAAATTATACGAAGGGGTTAATCGCATCTCTGGTCGCGTCTCGTCCCTCCTCGATCAGATTACTCCGGTGATCGCGTAGAAGCGGCTCGGCCTGGAGGAGGCCGAGAAACCGCTCGCAGGCCCGTTTTTCCGGCGGGGCAGAAAAAGCTGGAACTTTGTCTTGCATCTCGCGGCAAGTCGGGGGCAAGAAACCTCCTCGGCCTAGCCCTTGCCCATTGCGGTCGCGCGTCGCGCCCAACTCTTCTCCATCGACGCCGCCCGGCCGCGTGGCAACGCAACGACCGCATCAATTATTTCGAGCCCGTTACACCTCGCCCGATCATAGCCAAGATTTCTTACGTAGAATTACGTTTTTGTTGTCCTTACATACAACGGGTACCCACCCGCAATTCGAATGTAACGGAAATGCAACATGCTGATAGGTTACATTGTTAAAAAAAAGAAATATTGGCCTTTTATAAAACTTTTATCGGAAGTTTTATTCAGACGTGGTATACTAATTTTCTTCGTAAAGTTTTCGTCTTTAGTGTCTTTACGTATGACGAGTACCCACCCGCAATTCGAATGTAACGGAAATGCAACATGCAGATAGGTTACACTGTTTAAAAAAAATAAATATTAACCTTTTATAAAACTTTTGTCGGAAGTTTTATTTAGACGTGGTAATCTAATTTTCTTCGTAAAGTTTTCGTCTTTGGTGTCTTTACGTATGACGAGTACCCACCCGCAATTAGAATTTAACAGAAATGCAACATGCAGGTAGGTTACACTGTTAAAAAAAATAAATATTGACCTTTTATAAAACTTTTGTCGGAAGTTTTATTCAGACGTGGTATACTTATTTTATGACATTTCCAACGAACATTTATAACATGTTATAAATTTAATACACGTGTGCTCGTTTTTCTAGAAAATTTCACAAACTTCTAATATGACATTACAAAATTACAAGTTTATTTTGAACTTCGTCATAGATGTATAATAATTCACTTTCCGAGGCATAAAACTTATAGTTTTACCACAATCTTATGTACCAAGAGTGCATGAATTATATGAATATTTTTAACAGGGTGGCGTCCCGAAAATCGAACATGCCGGTCCGCGAGCAAGATGAAAATCAAACATGCGGATTCGCGGGCGTCACGAAAATTGAACATGCCGACACGTAAACGTTATGAAAATTTGACATGCAGGTACGCGGATGCCACGAAAAGTGAATACGTGGACACGTGAACGTTATGAAAATTGGACGTACAGCATGTAGGCACGAAAATCGAATATGTCGGTCCGCGAGCAAGACTTTATGAATATTTTTAACAGGGTGGTGTCACGAAAATCGAACATGCCGGTCGGCGAGCAAGATGAAAATCGGACATACGGCATGTAGTAACGAAAATCGAACATGTCGGTCCGCGAGCAAGATTTTATGAATATATTTAACAGGGTGGCATCACGAAAATCGAACATGCCGGTCCGCGAGCAAGATGAAAATCGGACATACGGCATGTAATAACGAAAATCGAACATGCCGGTCTGCGAATAAGATGAAAATCGGACATACGGCATGTAATAACGAAAATCGAACATGCCGGTCTGCGAGCAAGATGAAAATCGGACATGCGAGTTCGCTAGCATCACGAAAATTGAACACGCGTGTACGCGAACGTAATGAAAATTGTACATGCGGGTACACGATCGAGACAAAAACACGATGTAATTTCGCATTCAACGATATCATCGCTGTTCCGTTGAAAAGATCGAACCCTCGAAAATTTTTTCCCTCCCCCCCGCAACGCGTCTCGACTGGAAGATGATGAAACATCAAGGTACGAAGCGACGCAAGGAATTCCCGTGATCGAGCGAAACGCAAGAGCGACTTCTTTCCGCATTATTTTTTTTCTTTTGTCCCTCTCCCGTAATCAGGCTCCGCTCGTCCAGAAAGCAAAGTGGCGCGAGTGGGAACGAGCGTCGCGACAAAGATCTATTAAAACAGGCACGGTCTGTCGGGAGACTCTGCGAGCCTGCCGATGAAGCTAACCATCGATACAGGCAGGAATACCTGGAACTTCGTCGCGGATCGAAAATCGCGACCTCGAACCGCGCGAAAAACAAAGTCGGCAATCGCGCGTCCTCGGACCAAGTCTCTTCTCTAGACCGTTATCTCCGATAACTGGATCGAGAGAACAGTGATAAATGCAACCGCGGGCCGGATATTGGGAGCTAATCGCGAGCAGCTCTTCGCGAAAGAGGGTTGATAAAAAAATTAAATGCTCACAGTCTGGGAGTTTCGACTAACGACGTGGATTTCGAAAACTGGGGATCCTTGACAAAGAGACGAGCGATCGACCAAGGATGGACCAAGGACCTCTACAAAGCAAATCTTGTTAATTATCGAAAAACTATAAAAATGTAAAAGCTTAGAATCTGGAAGTTTCGACTGGCGACGTGGATTTCAAAAACTGGGAATCCTTGCCACAGAGATGATCGATGGACCAAGGAAGATGGACCTCTACAAAGCACATCTTATTAATTATCGAAAAACTATTTTATTACTATAATTTTATTATAACTATATATATTAAAAATGTAAAAGCTTATAATCTGGAGGTTTCGACCAGCGACGTGGATTTTAAAAACTGGGAATCCTAGCCACAGAGATGATCGATGGACCTCTACAAAGCACATCTTATTAATTACCGAACAACTATAAAAACTTAAAAGCTTATAATCTGGAAATTTCGACTAACGACGTGGATTTCAATAATTGGGAATCCTTGCCACAGGGACGAGCGATGGACTAAGGACGATAGACGTCTGTAAAGCAGATCTTGTTAATTGTCGGAAAACAGTACAAACGTAAAAGCTTAAAATCTGGGAACTTCGACTAACGACGTGAATTCCGAATACTGGAAATCCTTGCCACGGAGACGAGCGATGGACCTCTACAAAACAGACCTTACTAATTGTCATAAACTCGCGAAAGGAAAAAGTCCGCGATCGAAGCCGAACCGACTCCACTCGAGAGCGCTATCTGCGATAACTGGATCCAGGGAGCAGAGATAACTGCACCGATAAACGCGGGCGTAGGCCAAGTATCGACGCGAGTATTAGCGCGAGTATTATCGCGAGTATCGGCGCGACGTACCGTAATGCCATTACGTCGTGCCCCGCCGGGATGGATCGGCGGGCGAGCCGCGCGAATTTTCCAGGCAGCGCCTACGAGCGTGCAGTACCTCGCGAAACTTCATTTACACATAAAGCAACGATCGCGTTACGTCACCGCGACGACGGTCCGTAAAATCTCGCGACCTTACGCCAATGACGGGCCGCGGTGAGCGACAACTGGTGTAATGGTATTCCGCGGTCGGGCGACATTCCGGACAAGGGGGTTTTTCCTTTTTTCAGGTTAGGTCTATAAGGAGAGTCGCGCCGGGGTGACGTTTCCCGTGCACCCGAGGATCCGAGGGCCGACGCGGTCCGGCCGACAGGGGGCACGTAAAAATACTCGGATTACGTAGGCCAGCCGGCCTACGGCGAGCTCGGGGAGCCTGGGGGACTTCCGGAGAACGTCGGCCGCGGCGCGGCAATCGATGCCGCGGAGGAGCTGCCTCGACCCCGTCGCCGCCGACCGGCGCCGTCCCCCGGCCGGTGAATCACCGGCCTCGTGGGCGGCGAATTAGCCCGGAATTGTCCCGAATTAGCGGCGTCGACCGGGCCGGACCGGTCCGGTTCGCGCGGCGGCGGTGGCGGTCGATCGCAAGGCCGTTGGCGCGTGACCTTAATGAGCGGAGCGAGCACGGCGCGCAGCCCGTCGACGGACGACCGCGGATGGAGCGCGGCATGCCGCGAGGACTGTCAGGTGAGCCCGAGCGACTGTTGTCACGGCGGGCCCGGCCGACCGGTCGCCGAGGCCGCGGAGGCGCGGGCCTCGCCGAGGGCCCGGGAGCACGGCGCGTGCAGATGGCGACCTCCGGCCCGACCCCAGACTCCGGGCGGTCGTCCCGACGCGTCCTCGGGCCGCGCCCTTCCTCGGCCACTTTCCTCGGCGGGCGTCGCTACCGGTAACGCTCGCGGGGCGCGATAAATACCTCGTTTGTCCACGAGCGCCGAAATCTCCTCCTTGATGTCTGCCATCTTAGCACCAGTCACTGCTCACAATGCACGCTGGGAAAAAACAAACGAGCACCGCCTCGCGCCGCGCCATCTGGACGGTAGCAGCCGAAGCGGCGGCGCGTGACGTCACGCAGGGCCGGTAGCCCCAAGATGGCGCCCGGCACCTGGAGCCTCCACCCACTGACTTTCCCCTTTCCTTTCCAAGGAATTTTCGTAGAACCTTGCTGGCGTGGGATAGGTGTGGCCATCTGTTGGCGGGGCCTTAAACTTCATAAAGACTGAAAGGAAACGGGATTCAAAAATTGAAAAGAACTCGTTCCCAGGTCAGAGAAATTTCCTTTCACATCTTTTTCAATCTCTGTCCTGCGTTACAAATTGTGTTTAACGGGGAATCAATGTCACTGAGTAGGGAGCAAAAACGTGGATGGTTCTAGAGGGTTGCTCGAAACCTGAAGAGGTTGTTCCTGTCGGCCATCTTGTCGACATGTACCTTTTTACAATGTTTTTAAATTTTAAACGCGGTGAATGCCAGCGCGCAGTCGTGCGAGGCAAGACGAAATGATCCTTCTTAAACGAGAATCGTGTAAAACAAGGAACGAGATAGAGGAAGAACGAATTGAACGATTCCTTTACTTGTTCCTCTCTCCTTTGGCTGTTTAATCGTAATTATGAAAAATCGCCATCTATCGTAAAGACTCTTAAATTACTAGCTTATGAGTCTTCAGGACAGAAAATATACGCAGATATTCGCAAGGGGTAAAAGTATTTTTGATCGTGAACATCGTGAACTCTCTTATACGTTGAATATTAAACAGCTTCTTCCAGGAAAGAAAAAGCCGAAATAAATAGCAAAGGGGCACAGCTTCGGCACTTCGCGTACGCTCCTGGCGAGAAACGTCATCGACTCCCTGCATCGGCTGCTAACTTATTTCCGCCGCCTTAGTGCACGGCGCCAGTCGGTGATAAAATTTCTCCAAGTTTGTGTCTCCAAGCAGCGGATTTTCACGATGAGCGGACACGACGTCGTAATCGTCTCGGCAGTAAGAACACCCATAGGTATTAGAAGCAAGTTAAAGGGATTTTAATCCCTTCTTATTTTAGAAATCCAAGAGTTACGAGAAACGTGTGCGGCTAGCCCCATTTGAATTCTGCACCTAGCGATATGTAATCTATGCACGTCGATAAATATTTTTCAAAGGGTGATGTCTATTAACGGATTTTCCCGCGATTTGCAAATAAATAAAACGATTGTCAGGAGCACTTAAGCCGTTCGGCAATGTCTCCGTAAAATGTAGGGGTAATCGGTTCTCTATGATGTAACCTACTTTCTAAATTACCGTTTAACTGGCCTCGTTAAAATTTTATCTGACTCTTGTTAAAGGTGAGGAATGTATAATTTCTTAACATTAGCCTAAAGTAGATATGCAGCCGATGATTATGATAACGTTATGAAAATGTTCGTAATTTAATTCGTCGAGTAAAGCAATTAATTGCAGTGACCAATGCTTTTGTTTTGATATGCATCGGAATTTCTAGGTTCCTTTTGTGGGTCATTGTCATCGTTGAAGGCGTCGGACTTAGGAAGCATCGTTATCAAAGAGAGCCTTACGAGAGCAAAGTTGAAACCTGCGGAAGTCTCAGAAGTGATACTAGGGCAGGTAGGGTCATGATTGTAATTGTTTTTAAAGTTTTGTTCTCGTAAGGATCGCTTGAGAATATATTTTTATTCCTTAAAGGCACTCACCGCAGCACAGGGGCAAAATCCCGCAAGACAGGCAGCCATAAAAGCAGGACTCCCTATTTCTGTACCTGCTTACATAGTCAATATGCTTTGTGGGTCTGGTTTGAAGTAAGTTCGACACAGCTGACCTAGTGTCGAACCTCCAGCATGCATAATAAAATATCTGAATATCAATGCCATGCTTCCTGAGCCTAAAACTTTTTGGTAAAAGACTTTATTTTTTATAATTAATAGTGTATTTACTCAGTTGGCAATTTTTCAGAGCAGTTGTAAATGGATACCTGTCGATAAAGTCCGGTGAAAGTGAGGTAGTTGTAGCTGGTGGTCAAGAAAGTATGAGTCAAGCTCCTCATGCCATTCACTTGAGAAATGGAGTAAAAATGGGAGATGGTACCATGATCGATACCATGATTTTTGATGGCCTTACAGATGCATTTACTGGCGTTCATATGGGTGTCACGGGTATGTTATAAATCATTTTTCCACTTGAAAGTGGTAAGAAGTAAACAAAAGTTAACTGTTTAATTTCTGTAGCGGAAAATATAGCAAAGTCATTCTCAATAAGTAGAGAAGAACAGGATGAATTTGCAGCTAAATCCCAACAAAAGGCAGAGTTAGCTATTTCTGCTGGATACTTTGAGAAAGAAATCGTTCCCGTTTCCGTATCCAATAGAAAGGAATCGATTACCATTACTAAGGATGAATTTCCAAGACCTAATACTACCATTGAAGGCCTTAAAAAACTGAAACCTGTATTTATTAAGGTATTCTATGATTTAATTAATTTTCAAAAATTTGGATTAACTCTTATTGACACAAAGTTAATGATTTGAGTTCATTGTGTAGACTGAAGGAACGGTAACTGCTGGTAATGCATCAGGGGTAAATGATGGAGCTGCAGTTGTTGTTCTTATGTCATCAAAAGTAGCTGTTGATAAAGGGTTAATGCCAATAGCAAAAATTGTTGCAATTGCGGAAGCTGGTGTCGAACCTGATATAATGGGAACTGGAACCATCCCAGCTGTCAAATTAGCTGTTAGTATCACAGAACTCATCACATGTTTAAAATATTCACTAGTTATTTATTGTAGAATTTGATAGTAAACTGCGAAAATAATCTGTGTTAAAAATGTTCAGTTACAAAAAGCAAACTGGTCGAAGGATGATGTCGACCTGTATGAGCTGAACGAGGCATTTGCTGCTCAGTCACTTGCTTGTATTCGAGAACTCGGTTTAGATCCTGAAAAAGTCAATGCCAACGGTGGTGCTATTGCTCTAGGTCACCCAATAGGTGCTTCAGGTAACCAGTGAATTTAATTTACTGCGATCTTTTTAAGTACTAAATATTCAATATGAATTTATATGGTTACAGGAGCAAGAGTTTTAGTTACATTACTGTATTTGCTTAAACGAACGGGTGGAAGGAAAGGTGTTGCCTCATTGTGCATAGGTGGAGGCATGGGTATTGCTGTTGCACTTGAAAGATTATAACAAATAATGAACTTATTTGTTGTTAGACATTTAGCGGTATGATTTTATACTGGTCAATTATGCTTCAGTATCAGAAAAGCCAGTCATAAGAAACTTATCCTTTCTTCAGTTTTTTTTCACGACGTAAATGTAAATTGAACCACTGCGGTATTATCCAAACCACAAGTGTATTTATCTATCTATTTATTTTATACGACTTTATTAAGTTACTTAATTCGTGAACGTACAAATTAATATTTCTCTTTTAAACCAGTATTGAAAAAAATGACAATGATAGACCTTTTTTATCAGCTGATCAATGACTTACGTTCCTTAAATTCAAACAAATAGTACCGGTAGAATTTGTACACTGTGCTTGAATGTAGTTTGCGTATATTATACCGTTCAGCATTTTAACTATTTTGTAAACATTGAGAAAGATTTAACAATGTTTTTTATTAAATAANATGGCAATGAACATCTGTATTAAAAAAGTTATAATAAATGTTTCTTTGTTATATCGTAACTGATTCAGTAAATTTAAAAGGACTATACATCATTAAATAATTGGAGCAATGTACTACATAGTACAAACAATATTGTAGTAGTGTGAAGTATATTGTAATCTTAAGTACCTGTCAAACTTCATCGCCAGTCTTTATTTTTTATTCTCTCTTAACTTTCAAAATTTGTTCAACTGCCGTTAATCCTTCCTGTTGCCTTACTTCAGCCCTTTTTTTCTTAAAGGTATTGTGTTGTGGCCTTTGGTGATGAGATGAAAGTTGTTTTAGCTGATCCTTGATTGTAGGTACAATTTTCATCTTAAATAAAACAGAAGTTTAAATATGATGTGAAACAGTCATTATTCTGAATTTTAATCTTAAGTGTGTTATATAATCATAACGAATGAAAAACTTGAATCAATCACAAGTAATTACATAAGCAAGTAAATTAAATTAATTACATTACATCATAACAAGTGTCACAGGAAAACATCTACTTAGAAATTCTAATGTAGCTTCCGCTGTTTTTATTTTATTTTGAAACTAACATTGATACTTGTATAAATAATTGTCAATACAAAAATGCTTGATGTAAATTGATTTATGATAAAAATTCCTATCAGGAAGATACATATATATTACAGGCATTGTGTTGTTAATAAAAGAATCTGCACCTATGCATTTTCATGTAATGTTGTTAAAATATCCCTAAAGTAGTCAATTGTTGGTCATAGTTGATACCACAATTGGTATTGCAGGATGGTATCCACTGAATTTTCGGTCGTTCTTATTGAAAGAGTTTAAAGGTTCATCTAAATTCATCTTTGCTACTTCTTCTATTGCTGGTATGCAGATTTTTGAATATGTTTGTATCACATAATTCCACAGCGTATTTACAAAAGAGTCAGAATCTTTAAAGCAAAAGTATGATCCCCAAAATTGTGAATTGATGATATCCTTGTTATCATGTGACAATCCGACGTTAAGCATACCCTCAGATATTTGTTCATCGACTACAGCTATCACATCACATGTAGTACATGCACTGGGCACATAAATATCTTGCACAAGATTATCCCCAATGTATAAACATCGAGGTTCAATTTTTCCAGTGATGCAGGTGAAAAATTCATAAAGGTCTTTCCAATTTCCTTGACTGTAAGTACCTCCTTGTTGTAGATTTTTACCGCTTATCGGACCGGACTCTTTATAATCCAATAAGGTTAGAAATGGTCGATTACTAGTAAAAAAACCTGGCTTCTTTGCATAACATATAATGATATCAAATAAAGATTTCCAATCATCACCAAAAGCATAACTAGCCGTAAAATTTGCAAAATCAATATTTGATCCAGTGATGAGGAAAATTTTTTGTTTTTTCTTTAAATCTTGAAGCCAAGAAATGGTACGAGGACTGCATTTATGTATATATTTTTTAGGATTAGATTTAATAGCAGAGAAAAAATTGCCTTGTCCACTTTGAAAGTGATCCTTGTTATACATTTCTATTAAACCTTCAAGCATATCTGGCCATATTCTGTAACAATCTTGGGGTATTCCTTTCTCGTCTTGTGCATCTACAGCTCTTGCAAAAATCAAAGACGATGGCATATCAAAGTAGTCTAATAAAGGTCTCATTTGCATTGACATAGGTCCATTCCATGTTGATAACATATCATTACAAAAAGAATCGATAACATGCCATCTTTTGTTAGGGTATATACTCTCAATATCTTCCATGTTTAACAATTTACTGCCATGAGTTGCTCTTTGAATGGATCCATCACATGTTACTTTCAAAATGTTTCCTTTTTCAAAGTCCATCATTAATCCTTTTTGCATAAAATCCAAGTCAGCTGTGTCCAATGGCTTTAATAAATGTTTGGCACTATATCCTTTCTTTTCCACCATATACTTTGCTAAAGTATCGTATTCAAAGTGTACCAAATTTGTAACATTGTAGCGTAATAATGTATTATCTAAATCAAATCCAATGCAGTCATAATCACTGAACTTCATAACATTCATGTTGGCAGTCGATACAAAGTGCACAACAGAATAATTATTTAACGCTTTGGCCCACTTATCGATATTGTTTAATTGTTTTACTAAATTTACACTTTTACAACTATATCTACTTGCAAGTTTATTAAAGTGCAAAAACATGTTATACAACGTAAACTGCTATCTCAGAAATTGTTTAATTTATTGACCATGTTAACATATAATCTGGTGTTTATGAAACAAGATCTATAGAAGTTATTATCATGGATGTAAGGGGCACATGCCTCGCTTAATGCCTATGATCTTCCCAAGTTTTCATTTTAATTACATTTTTACTTGACTAATCAACACTTTAACAGATAACAGATATGAAAAGTCAAAAGCTGCCATTGCCGACAACTTCTACACACAAAAGTAACTAGCAACAGACCTTGTTGCTTACATACTGATAAATATTTATTATACAATAAACATATTGTTTATATTATTTACATAAACAAAATACTGATAGAACTGCTAGTATAGTTTTAATTAGCTGTATAAGTGCTAATAAGGTGAGAAGGATAAAACTCATTAACAAAACATAATACTACGTCTGAGCATGAAACTTTAAGTATTTTTTTAAACATAACTTACCTTAGGTGGTATGTGCACATATCGAATATTCCTTGCCAACACGCAAAACATATCATATTTAAACATATCACCCCTAGGATCCGTAAAAATACAATCCTTCATAACGATGTTCATAAACCTGCACAGAAAACAGCATTTACATTTTCAGCTGTAAACTAAATGTGGTATAAAATTCCATAATATGCACTGACCCATCAGCTTGGTCTATTCTTCCAAAAACTGAAGCCTCGTTTCGCAAATCCACCGTAGTTTCGTGATTTTCTAAAGCTTTTATTAAAATTGCTAGACTATTGTAGAACATATACTTTTCTTTCGTAGAAGGACGTATAGTCAGTGCCATAATAAAAGGTAGAAGAAAATATTATTTAAATTTAAATTTAACCCCAAAGTTACGAAAACTTAGTCACTTGACTTTTCTGCGCGTGTTTACTTTTCATTTTAGTACACGATATCATTATTTTGTATACATTGGCAGCAGTTATCCCTAGATTACATGATGCTGCACATAGTGCATTTTGTTCCGCGATTGAAGTATGTACATATGTACATACAGCGTAGCAAGTGCGTGAGCTGTCCGCATTCGCCTCCGAGGGCAGCAGAGAACGCGATCGCACGACCCAGCTTGTGAACAATCTCCCAACTCATCTCTGACGTGTAAACATGTGGTTTATAATTTTTAAATCGATAGTAATCAATACTAATTTGATCCTATGAATAAGCTGTTTCTAGTAATTTTCTCAAAAAGAAATTGTGATTTCAAGAGTGATCAAAATCGAGATGATCGAGTCTTGCACAAAAAGACAAATGTTATTAGGTATCACTTTACTAGGAGGGTTAGTTTCCACTCCTGATACTTTCACGAAATTTGTTGTGCTATCCTGTTTGCTAAGAATACAAGTTTGAATTGTATGATCTTTACCACTTTAGTAGTGCAATGCATTAGACAAATTCTGAGTACTATTAAATTAATTAAGCAGAGCATGTTATGCTTTTATATTACAGGTTAACAGTTTTGGTTTTAATTGTCGAAAGTCATTGGACGGAAACAACGAGTAGTAAACCATATATAGAAAATTTTGAAAATAATTCAGCATGTGCTACTAACGAGGAGGTAGAAGTGATTTCTGAATGTCAACCATGCACTGCGTTTGAAATAGCGAGTAAAAGTATCGGAGTATGTGCTCATGCCAGATATAAGGAGATAATAAAATGCAAGGACGGGGAAACTATAACAAGAAGGTAAATTCTGAATTTTATTCTGTGTTAAGGTTGTTCCATTTTTAATATACTGCATTACTTTGTTGCAGCTGTGACAAGGTTGCTTGGTTGGAAGAAAGAACATTTTGGAAATTCGAAGGGTTCATGCTTTTATTAGCAGTTCTGTCGTGTAGCAGCGTATTTTGGAGAGAGAATATTTTAAGACAAAGAATCATAAGAAGGGTAGCTAGGCAGCTTAGAGGTAGCGTTTAAGAGTAATTTTCTTGATAATCTCCTTTGAAACTTATACATTGTTCTTTACATTATAAAATTCTATATTTTCACACAGTAACATTCATAATGACAGTGGCAGGAATTTATTTGAAAATATTTTCATTGACGGATATTTGCAAAGCTCCAATAGAAACGATAATAGCATTATTTACAATTAAATATTGTGACTCGACTGTGAATATTAAGCTCATTGAGTGCGAACAAAAATTGGGAGAATGTGGTTATACAGTGGATCTCTCCAGTTTTGTTTATAAAATATTAAGCAAAGAAAAAGTCCCAGATTGTGCTAATTCTTGTGAACTACCAAATATCCTTGTGAACGAGAGGAGCTGTATCGCAGGACTTTGTGCATGTTTACGGCAAATTGTAAAAAGTGCAATTGATGTTGTACCATCGCACCATTGTCAAACATTGTTAGGATTCAAAAATTCTTGCCTCTTGGCTTGCTCCGAAGTAAGTGTTTGGACTAGATTTTGTGAAGTTGATTTAATTTCAACTTTGCGATCATTCGGTAATGAAATGCTGGATCAGTCAGAATTGCCCATTAGCATGGCAAAGTTCGAAATTCACATGTCACAGCCAGCTCGATTGCATAACTTATATAAATATACAATGTCTAAAAAATATGCTATTAGCGGTAATATTAATCGAGATAACAAATTCCTGCCGGAACATACATTTGCAGAGGGATCTTGTATAACCTTGGCCGATATAATTATATTTGTATGTATACATATTTTATTTAATCTAATACCACTTACCAGTGATAAAATATTAGAACTACTACCTTTAACAATGACGTGGTATAAGAAGATGATTGAGAATGATGCTATTATTAAATGTTTGACTTGTTTACCATTGCAAGAGATTGATTGTGACAATGTAATCAATTATGTATTACCAGCTGTTGATAATCAAAGTTTGTATAAAAGCGATTCAAAGAGATATCGGCCTAGAAGTCGTATTTATACAAGACAGGAGGATATAGAACATTCGCTAGAACTAGTGGAAAACTTGAACGTTAATACAAAATTAAATGATTTACCTTTCGGAGCTGAAATATGTATCGATTGGAGCAGTATTCCATTCGATGCCACTCCGGAAGGAGGCTCATTGCCGGTTGCTCGTCAAAAGAGAAAATTGGACCAACTGGAAAATCTCTGCAGACCTGTTATAAAATTGGCGAAGAAGGGAGATGTTATCGTTGACTTTTGTTCAGGAAGTGGCCATCTGGGTATTACGCTAGCTTACTTGCTACCGGAGTGCAGTGTAATATTACTGGAAAATAAAGAAGAGTCTTTAAACCGAGCCAAAGAGAGGGTGAAGAAATTAAAGTTAACAAATGTAAAATTTTGTCAGTGTAATTTATTTTATTTTAAGGGTCACTTCGATATTGGGACATCGTTGCATGCCTGCGGCGTGGCTACCGATCTTGTGATCCAGCACTGCATTCGTAAGAATGCTACTTTTGTCTGTTGTCCGTGTTGCTATGGATCGGTACAAAGTTGCCAACGTGTCGTATATCCAAGAAGCAATGTATTTCAGAAAGACATTGCTATCAGAGATTACTTGGTGCTTGGTCATGCTGCCGATCAAACTCATGACGCGGGTAACTCTAAAACGTTGCAAGGCAAAAAATGCATGACCATTATAGACACTGATAGGAAGTTACATGCGGAACAATTCGGTTACAATGTTCAGTTAGCCAAACTCGTGCCAGAGGATTGTACTCCTAAAAATCATTTGTTAGTTGGCATCCCAGAAAATGGAGTCTGTAAATGCTAATTAAATCTCGCTTTGTTACCTCTAGATATTCGTTTACCCCGTTGTTAAGTAGTGTTAAACCTTTATTCAAACTAAATCGCGATATGAAACGTCACAAGTAACTGTAAATTACGCAAATAAGTACAAGCATATGGATAATTTGTAATTAATGAATTTTGCAAACTTTTAGTAACTACTTAAAATAAGAATACCATGTAGCTACTTAGTAATCATCGTTCACATTGCATTCTTAGATAATATAATTTATAATGAGCTTGAGCCACGTGTTTTGGATCATCATTTTTAACTGAACAATACTTATTTGTTTTCCGTCCACCCTAAATTAAAGAATAATGCCGAACACGTGGCACGTATACGAGGCTGCTCTAGCAAACTGGTAAAGCGTGAAATTGTGAACAAAGAAAAAAAGATTATTGAGAAAGTATACAGCGTCACATAATGTTGTTTAAAAACTTGTATTAAAGAGCGTTTATTGGTATATACAAAAAACGAAATTTTATGACATTCCCACATATACAGAACAACCCACATACTTTTAACGCTTTTTCCGTTTTCTTCTACCGGTGAATTTGTGAAAGGAATAGACGACAAACGTGTATTAACTAAGGATCCAGGGAGTCGTTACTCTGCTAAACTACTTCAAGCACTGGACAATACTTCGACACGGTGTTTAAATTTAAATACTCTCTCACCTTTATTTTATCGTTCAACATTTTAACACTTCAATTTTGGTTACTTAACAAAACTGCTAATCAAGAACGAAGTAAACGTTCCGTTTATATAATTTTCTCTTTTTTTTTTTTTTTCCTTTCCATCCCTCACTGTGTTAAGAGTTCTATTTACATTTGACGACGTACGAGCTGATACGCGACCAAAGACTGGGTCGGCCATATCTGGTATTTCTTTCACTTAAGTATTAAGCCTTCGTTAATCGGCACTCAACTGATAAGCTTCCGTTTCTCAGAGGGTCAGAACTCGGTATCGATGGACCTTCGATCAAAATTAGCAAATCAAACCGCCTTCCTGGTTAGAGTCTAACGACAGCGCAGGAATTCTCGGGGTTACATTCAATGCATTTTAGTACCAAAAGACTGAGAGTTAAGTCGTTACTACGAATTCAATGAACAAAAGGTTCTACCCTGAAGATATCGAAAGAGTATCGGAAATACAATGTCTAGCGCCATGAAACACCTGTTGCAGAGTATTCGACTTATTTACTTCCCTCCCTTATGCGATATCACCGTGTAGTACTGATACTCTAATACATCGTATACATACATATAAAAGAAAAAGAAGAAAGACTACGTGATACCTAAATGACATTTACAAAGAAATGAGGGAAACGTACAATATATATATATATATAAAAAGAAAAAAAAACTGTACATATAAACTCATAAGAGGATTATCCGTTACAATTCAGAGAGTAAAATGAGCATCATACTAGGGAAACGATCGAATCTCGAAATTTCAGAGAGCACTCGCTTGTCTCGGGCAAACGTAGATCGCTTGGCACCTAAATACTCAAGTAAATCCTTATTACTTTAGCGTGTAAAAATACGAAAATTGTACTCTTCAACAGGTCCTTCCTGACATGTAACGCGCCCTCCTCGCTGCCCCTTTTTAACCGAACCGAAGGATTTTATCTCGACTGCATCAACGAACGCCTTTTAACGTAAAGAAAAGAAATAAAACTTCATTTCGTATCAAGCCATATGAACCATAACGTTTGGATGTATAATTTAGTCTCGCTAGTTAAAAGATGACGTGCCAGCCACAACACAACAAGCACAGTGCTTCTATCAAAGTATGTATGCTCATACCATATGCTGCTTAAGTTAAAGAGCTTCTAAACTGGATCATCCTGAACATGCGTACCGGTTAACGAATTTGCCTCGACGCTTTTCCAGCGAATACGTCGCCCTAAACCCTCCACAATTTTCTTTCTTTCTTTTTTTTTACGTTTTTCCTTTTTCCAGGCAATTCCGAGAAATAAATATCAAAGATCCCGGACAAGGTAGACACCTCGAGACTTATTGGACTTTCCTCTATATACCGTCGACGATTTGGAGAAATATCGGATCGACCGTGCCCCGCAGTTGGCGGGCTTAAAACGCGCGTTCTCCCTTGCGCCGTGCTCTTCGTGTTTCCCGACAAAAAGATGCATCCCGATAACAATGGTCGCCACTGCGCACTTAATATATATATCCGTACACGCGACGTTATGCGATGTAGATTCTCGCGATGGAAAAAAAAAAGAAATATATATATAGTACTCCCCCCTGCGGTACACGTCGACCCAACGGTATAAAAAGGAAGAAGCGTTTTATAAAGATACCATAACAGGATGCAAATTCGAAACGCCTTGCCGCTACAAGACGAAAAGACGCGGCGAATGTGAAGTAGTAATGCAATAATTATCCACTCGGGATTCATCTCGCAGCCTCTAATTATCCTGCGGTACCGGGAGATCGTCCTCGACTCATACAGGCAGGATTACGATCGACTACTCCCGGCCGTTAATAGTTTCAGAATAGCGTTACATCGTGACCGAATAAAAGTGAGACCTACTCGCGGGACCATTTCCTCTTTTCTCCTCCCTTATACGAAACGTCTCTGCATCTGCATACGCGACCTACCCACGAATCTACCATCGAGAGAGTGCAGCGTATTCGCAGAATAAGTCGGCGCACCCTCGCGATATTTTATTCCCTTGTGTCCCCCTCCGGCATGTAAGGAGCATCCGGTACAGAAGCTCGTTAATTTATTAATCTATACAGAGCAGAATAACGCTTCGTTTATTCGCAGTTTAGGAGATGGATCACGACTCCCCGTTGCCGCTGTCGTCCCCGTCTTCGTAATCGCTCTCGCTCAATAAGCCATCCTGGTCGTCGTCGTCCAGCTCGTACTCGTCGTCGTAAAAATCAGTCATGTCCAACTGCTGTTCGGCAGGCCTCGCTGGGGTCTTTATGCAGTAATCCTCCAGCGTCAGAGGTACGACGATGCCCTCCTTCTCGGCTTCCATTTTCGCGGCTTGAGCTTGCCTCCTTCTCGACATAATTACAAAGCGTCATTAGAATGATAAAAAAGCCAAGGTAACCTGCGAGTTCGGCTATAAGTCCCCCGTTGCATCTCGTATCGGCTAGCCGTGTACTCGTACGTTATCACGACGGACATCCCCCAATTTGTTTCCTTCTTCTCGCCAATGTATTATCTCAAAAATCCCGAGTACGTAGATCGTCTCCGTGAAGCGTTGCCTCCACCTTCCGGAGCATCGGTAGGAAGTAACGCGGTGCACGAGCGAGCATTCACTTTCGCGGGTGAAAATAAATCTTAAAGCATACCGAGCGTGTTCCGAGTAGTGCATGACTCGCAACACGGGTTCCGTACCTGATGATATTTTCATACTCCTTGTCTCTCCCCTTGGAATCACGCCAGCGCCTATACATCACCGAGGCGTCCACATTGGCAGGACTGTATGTGTTGGGCTCGTTCAGGAGCGAGATCACCGACAGAAGAATCGTCCTGCGATTAAAAGAAAACCCAAATAGATCGTCGCCAAGCCTGAACCCTACCTCGACGTTTCCAACGCTCCACGAGGCGGCCCACGTATAGAAATATCCGCAACCGCGAATCCGTATTCCAGGATCTCTCTCCAGATTTTGCGCAGCGAAACCTCCTTCCTCTTTCTCTTGGACGACCTGGTCTCTCTCACCTGACGTTTTGCGTTGGATTCCACCTCTCGCAGGGCAACTCTCCGCTCTGTGGATCATCTACCGGTGGATGCAGGATCGATATGCAGAGATCTCCGTTCTGCGAGAAGAGAAACGTACACTGATAAAAACCGATGGAAATTTACATACATCTTTGTGTACCTCATAAATGAAGGTTCACGTAATAATACGTTGAATAGAAAAGTTACGAATTAGGAGACGTATAAATGCACGTGACGTTGTATATCTATCGTGTTAGGGCAGCTTTACTTAAATTAAATGTAATGTTACGTTTTCATTTTCTTTAACTCAACTTAAGGTGAAGTGAAACCCCCTTCAAATCAGTCGATTCGAATACAACACTTTTTTTTAAGGGTATTAGACCAAACTGTCCGAAACTTTGACACATCACTCCTGATCATCTAAGAATTGTCCTGACACATTCAAAATTTGGATTTTTGGAAAAAAATTTTTAACTCGGCCCAGACCAGAACCAACATGGCGTCGAGCTCTCATATTTCGATCAATATACAATTATCGAAGGCTCTGATATGAGAATTCAAAGGGTCAGGACAATTTTACGACAATTTAGAACACTCTGGAAATCGATAAACTCGCATTTAAACGGGACAAAGGCAAAAAAAGTGTTGTATGGGCTTCTATGCTAAAACGATGGGAATTCGAGGTCTCGGGGTGGAAATTTACTTGACCTGGAAATCACAGATGGCGCAGGGGTCCCTCTGCAGTCAATTAGGGTCCCGGAAAGCATGAATTCAGAGGATTTCTGGAGTTTTACTTCGATTTCTTTATAATTATTGTACGAAAGCGACAGGTGGAGTATGCCATTTGGTACAACACCCAATATAATTCGACCCAGCTGTCAATATAAAAACGAACGTCGGCAACGTAGGCATTTAGAAAAATCTTCTTTATCGTCGTTGATCAAGTTCCTCGACGTGTTTCACTTCACCTTAAATGGTGAATGTGATATTACAGAGACAATGTCATCTTATTGGAATTTGTTGTGGCATCGAAATAACCAATGATTGGGTATGTCAATTTACATGGGCATTCTTATCAGGGTAAACACGAGACTTTGAGACCTCTTCCCGAGCTCGAGTAGTATGCCAAAATATCCGCGATATCGTCGCCAGCGATTTCCCAACGTCGACGGCGAGGGTCCTTCCCTTTGTCTCGCGTTTACCGCCGGATTTGGCGTAATTCATAAGAAAGAAGAGTATGTCGGCTTGAGTTTGGCTCGTCGATTCCAAAGACACCCGGTATTAAGGTGCCCCTTATTGCGACACGAGAGAGCTCGTTACGAGCCTCGTGTTTCGTCCCACACCGAGATGTGTTTGCACGCAGGCCGTCTAGGAAACCGCTGAAAGTCGAGATACCTGGACGCCGTGGTCGTCGTTCGGCCTCCTAGCACCCTATGGACCGTTATTCGGACTACGGGCAGAAAGATCATAAGCAAACGGGGCGACAAATAGAGCAAGGCAACTTGACGCAAAAAAAAGAAAAACTCGGTGCGTGGCCGCCACGCGCATTGGAAGTTTCACTTTCAAGTTAACGAGAATAATTGCACATTATTGATTAATCCTTCTCAAAACGCCTACGCAATTTGTGCCGGATGAATGTAATGATTAACTAAAAAAAAAAATTTTTTTTTAAAGAAAAGAAAAGAAAAAAAGAACCCGTTTCCCTTTCACAACCTGCGATCTTACATGTACAGTAGACTCATGTATAACGCGAATTCCTATAACGCGCCAGATATTCCGACCATTGTTTTCATATGGCGCGATTCTCTGTACAACGCGCCAAACAATAGAACATATGCGCGTTATACGAGGAAAAAAAAGTCCCGTACAGCACAATTTCCTACAACGCGTAACGTATTAATTACACGGGAGTGTACTGTACTATCACCCCGTATCGTTAGGGAAAATAAATAGAAATCCCAGAGCGTCGGGTCTCCTCGAGTAAATGTCAAACGCCCACTGGGAATTGCGGCGCATTCTTCCTGTAAAGTCGCGAAGGCATTAAATGTCCTGCCTGCCCTTTACAAAGGGTCCCAAGGAAATCGAAATCCGAGAACGAGGACGTGTCTCGCGAATCTAAGAGGCTCTGCAGAGTCCCGCGCCAAGTGCACCTCCACCGGGAGACTCGTTGGCGCATTACGCGTCGGGCCAATCAAGTGGAGACTCTACCACCCCGTGGGCTTTGAACTTTTTATATCTCTTTTATCCGCGTTTCTTCCATCTCTCCTGCGACGTACAGAAGGGAGGAGTGAGGGAAGGGCCGACGCGAAAGGGGTTGTCGGCGCGTCTCTAAATTTCCAACGCGAGATTGCCGCGTAATTGGCCGATCGACTGGCTCAACATCGGAAGGTGATTCTCCCCTTCGGTAGGGCCGGGGAAATAATTAGGCTTAAGGGGGCTCGTTACCTCCAGGGTGCGCCGACGTGCTGGCCGACCTAACGAGGCCTCCCCCGGCTGCAATCAGCGTCGCGACGCCGTTCCCTCCGAGACCCCTCCGAGTCCGAATTTCAGGCCTACTTCGAGCCCAAGTAAGACCTACTTTCATCCTATTTCACCCCTTAAGCCCTACTATCCTCGTAAAACAGAGATCAATAATTAAAACATTGCCCTTGCCAAAACGTGGAACGGAGTTTGCGCCTTGGAATGGCACACGACTCGAGCATAAAGAAAATACAATTACATCTGAAATCGAGACAACAAATCATAGATAGCAAAAATCCCAATGACTTTCTGGACAGCCTGGTACTCTTCTTAATGTGATCGCGGGAGCTATTTAAGGCCTACAATTAGAGGTTCTAAGTAGGATTAAAATTTCGCCTTAAGGTCAAGAAATACGCGAGGGTGCGATCCGAGGGGCTATTCACTCGGAAATCGGTGAAAACGATTTCCTTCGTTGAGAGCCGATTGCCTTTGATCTCATATGACAAACAGCAATGCGACTCGGTAAGAAGTGACAGTCGGCCTTAAAACTGTGGCGATTCTTTGGTGATTTCCAACGATTTCCAGGGATTTCACTTGCGACTTCCGGCTGATTTTCGCGTCATTTCGAGCATTGAAATTCATGATTTCCTGAGGAAATAACTCCTCGGTGCGATCCCCCGATCCGCGACGACCAACCTTATCGCGGGATAGTGTTCCTATCGACATGCGTTTTTTTTTTTTTATTTATTGGAAACAATCATCGATCCGTCGATCAAGTCATGACGCGGTGGAGACGCGGGGAGAACTCAACGCTCGCACGAATGGCCGTTTCACGGGCTTCCGCGCAAAGTCCTTGACGAGCGGCCGGAAGCGCCGGTCCAGGGACGAGGTTTTTCAACTCGGGGCAAACAACGGGCCGTGTCGCTCGCAAAAATGGACTTTCCGCATCGATTAACGCCCGAGACCAGTTCGACCCGCGAGTAACGAACGGGGCGCGCTTTTTCCCCCGGCCGGCCGCGATAGGCGTCGCTCCTCCGACCAAGTGCACGAGGAGCACGGGCATGCACTTTGTCGACAAAGCGGAGGGAACGGGGAAATGCATCGTCGTAGGTGGCAGAGTGCCAAACCCGGGTTCCCGATTCCCCGGTAAGCGACTCCTTGAGGCCTGCAAAAAGTCCAAGGATGCGCCCCCGGGGTGTCGTATAGATACACGAGGGTACCGGCGTCGTCGCGGGAGAAGAATTGGGCCTGCAGGGTATTAAAAATGAACGCGGCCCCAGAGGTCTCGAGCCATTTGCGGTTATTATCCGGCACGTGATGGGCAACCGTATGCCAGGGTTCTCGGGCTCCCTCAAGGATCCCCGGAGGAACGGTCACGGAAGGCTCTTCCGCGAGGTAGGCCCGACTCGTAAGACCAGTACCGGAATCTTGATGAAGCGTTATACAAACGACCCCACCATCCCCACGAGAGGAGTCTCGTCCAGCGGAGGTCGGCGTAGAAAAATAGATCGAAAACAGTCCGTGTCTTATAATGAAAGGCGCGACACCTCCGGCTATCCTATAAAAAGTAGAGAATAAACTCTCGATCCGCTCCTGGTGCAGCGACGCCACGTGGGAGTAATTACAATAAAAACTCGGCCACGAGTTGACTTTTAACCCTTCAACTCCGCTTGAGTAGGACGCGGAGATGTTCATATTTTATATGAATACGATATTCATTTGTCGGTTTGAATGCATGAAGGGGGCGTTTCTTAAAAAAACGTCGCTCCTGTGGAAGCCACTATGGGGTAGCGTTTCGTAATTAAAGGGTTAAAAGTTGCACCGATATACCACGATCTCCCGAGGGGAGAACGGTTTGATGCGAACGCATGGAATCATCGGCGAGGTCGTCCGAGTTCCCAGGACGGGAAGATCTAGTTTCATAGAAAGATGCGACACCTCCGGTTACCCCATAAAAAGTAGAGAATAAACTCTCGATCCTCCCGATGCAGCGACGCCACGTGGGAGTAATTACTATAAAAACTCGGCCACGAGTCGATTTGTAACCCTTCAACTCCGCTTGAGTACGACGCGGAGATGTTCATATTTTATATGAATACGATATTCATTTGTCGCTTTGAATGCATGAAGAGGGCGTTTCTTAAAAAAACGTCGCTCCTATGGAAACCACTATGGGGTAGCGTTTCGTAATTAAAGGGTTAAAAGTTGCACCGATATACCACGATCTCCCGAGGGAAGAACGGTTTTATCCGAACGCGTGGAATCATCGGCGAGGTCGTCCGAGTTCCCAGGACGGGAATATCTAGTTTCATTCCGTCGAGCCCTAGAATGTCGACGTCGATGTCTCGAACGCGCGTCCTTTTTAGTTCTGATTTGGTGCGCCTTCGCGTCCGGTCCATCCGCATTGCGACAGACCCGGAAGGACGAGGTAGAGGTGCGCCGACCTGATCCTTTTCCCCGGAGCCGATCGAAACAACGAGAACCGCCCGATGCCGTCGAGTTAACGGGCCACTCGTCGGCCTCCGCAATTTCATTACGGAATCGGTCTATACTCGTCGGTCTCTCCGATGCGACGAGCTTTGCGGTCCGCGAATCGATACTCGGGAGGGCCATCGGTGCTCCGCTCGTTCGGCTCGCC